TGATTGTCAAAAATGCCAAACAAATGGTAGCAAATTGGTTTTTTAAAAAAGAAAATGGAAATGAAGATGGAGAGTATGAAGTATACATGCATTTATAGGGGGTGAAGGTAAAAAGACAGAATGTGATGTGCATTTATAAGGGGTGAAGGTGAAAAGACGGAATATGAGCAGCCATATTCGTGTCTAGTAAATGGGATTAAATGGCCCAAAATCGAGCATAAATATCAAAAGAAAATGTGAAAAATTTTAGCATAAAGCAGTTAAATGCCTGAACGATTAAAAGACGAACGTCAATAAATGCACAAAAGGCTAAAATAATTATTCATTGACAATGATAGCTGCTGTTATATCAGTACAAGGTTACAAAGAGAAAGTCAAATGCGAAATTACAAAAAGAAAAGTTAAGGCAATAAACGTCCTAATTACAATTCGCCCCATACCGAGCAAATTCTTTCCCTAAGCTTCCCCCAGTTTTCGTTCTGCCGAGAAGAAGTGATGTTCAATTCAGCCACAATATCATCATCAACTTCCAACCTTTTGTACTGCTCGACCAAAGACTTAGCTCGCTCAATTCCTTGGGAGGCATTACACTTTTTAGCAGCCATTCTTGCCTTACAGTCGTCCATCTTGGCTCGAAGCTCCTTCAACTGAGCAGCCAAACTAGTCATCAAAGAGTCTTCAATCATGACTTCGGAAGAGATTTCTTTCAACTCGTCCTCAGCTTTGTTGATCTCCAGAAGCAAAGACTCTTTTTCAGATACGGCGCGAAGATATTGAGTACTTTTGGCCTTCAGTTCAACATTCTTGGCTAGCAAGGAGAGGACTTCGGAATGGATAACTTTCAACATCGCTTTAAAATCAGCGGAAAGATTGAGCGACGAAAGTGTCAGTGCTTGCTCCAATTTCGCATTCAAAATGCTCAAGCTTATCCTTATGCCTGACAGCATTAGCCTTACCGATGTCCATATCCATGAAGGACACATACTCAAATATCGACTGTTTGAGGAACTTCATATCGTCCTCTGAAGAAGCAGAAGGACAACTGGCTGAAGCAGAGCGAGATGTTTTGACTTGCCCCCAGGAAGCGAACAAGTCGTGGATGGAACGCACAATTTTATCAGCATCCTTCAAAGAAAATCGCCAATATTGAAGGTTTCCACTACACTAAACAAAGTGGAAGTAAAGGTAAAGCAAAGATTACCTCATCAGCAATCTTGGAAGATGGCATATCCCCAGCCAAATCTGCCACCTCTGGCTCCACCATTTGTAAGGACTTCCCCTTATCTAAGCGAGAAGACCTTGCCGCAACGGGCAAACTCATGGGAACATCTACAGAACTCAAAAGATAACAAATCAACACCAATAGCACAAGCAAAGGTAAAGTATCAAAAAATGAATTACCTTCTACTTCAACATTTGGGGGGTCAACGCCCTGGGAAGAAGGTGGCTCGTCCATTGGTTGTAATGAAGATCCTAGGACTGAAGGTTTCTCTTTAAGCGTAGCCCCTTCATCGGCAGGTTTGGACGAATCAGCCTCAGCAGAGGATGATGGAGCAGGAGCTGCCAACACCAAAGCTTTCAAGGGAGAGCTTGAACTTTTCTAAGAGGTCCAAATAAACTATCAGCACATGGAAAACCCTCAAGTACAGAAAGGTATGCTTATGAGTAAACCGATTTAATTACCTTCCTCCTGACGATGAGAGGGGTATCATCATTATCATCATCAGCATCATCCTTCAAAATGGGAGACGCTGAGGCTGGCCGTTTGCGGCTTGGGGCACTTTTTGCTACAATAGGCTTGGCAGGAAGAGAAGCCGATGGACGGGCAGATTGTTTAGCACGAGCAGAGGAAGAGGAACTCCTAATGGACACAGGAGTGACCAAAACATGAGAGGTGGAAGAAATGTTTGGTTGGTCTAGTGAATGGAAAGCACGATTGGCATCAGTAGCAAACAATCTGCGCTTCACTGACGGCCAGAGTCGTTCAAAAAGGGGATGGATGGCACGGCTAGGATTGAAGGGGGCTAATGAAAAATTGCTCGTCAAAAGAAGATTGCGAACATTTATAGCCTCTGCCTCCACTTTATTAATGGTATGGAAGCGGTCTATCAAATTCTTTGAATAGCAAGGGGGAACAGGCCAAATTTGGCCAAAACCAAGTTGGCGAGCGAAAAATTGGGGAGCATATATTTCTACCCCAGCCTTGGCATTAGTCCCAGTCAAAATATCATGGAACAACTTCCTCCCGGTCAAAAACTGAATCCAAATGAATAGAGAGGTGCTTGCACTATCCATAGTGGATGGAGGCTGTACATAATCTGGAGTCAAAAAAGGAGGAAAAGGAAAGAAGGAAGGGATTGAATACAAAGTATAAAAGAATGAAAAAATGTCCCTTCTGAACATATTTACAGGAGTCAGTGGCTCAATGGCTAGCCCGTAGCAGCTAGCAGAAGGGCTGGAAAAAGATGGAGCACCAAGCAATGGAAAATAAACTCTCAACCACATTTGAGCGAACCAAAGAGGTCCACTGCCAGTGGGAGATGCACCATTCTTCAATTGGGATTGAACAGAAGCCATGTCTCTATAGAGGGCAGCTAAAAAGAAAGAACATAAATTCAGAGGCCTACCTCGCTCCAATTCGTGCGCTATGGGTAAATAGCTCAGGGAGGGCTTTATACTTGGCACACACAAAATGTATTTACAAAACCAAATCAGAAGAAAGGCCACTCGCTCAGTATGGGAAGGCTCAGCGCTCGAGTGGTTATGAAGGGTTTGCAGGCTTGAATAAGACTTGGTGAGACCTTTACCAAATTTTGGAGCGGCACCAGAAATCAGGATACCGGGGAAAATGGTATCGCCCAAAGGTGGCAGATTTACTAGGGCCCCAATATCCCTTAAGGTAATGGACATGGGACCGAGAGGAAAAACAAAAGTATTATACTCAGTAGACCAAAAACTTAAAGCGATTGGAAAAAATACTGGGTCAAAAATAGGGGGTTGAAGAGAGATTTCTAGCAAATCAGAAATCCCAGTATTATCAAAAATTGCCTTAGTAGGACAATGGTCCACAAGGCGAGCATGCCATCTACGAAAAATAACATCAGATTTAGGCCAAATGCGAATACCTCTTTCGTGAAGTGGCCCCAGCGGCAAAGAATTTAGAAACGGAGGCCCATGAGTACAAGGGAACAGCTGACCGACTGTCGCTTGTTCGATGGCCTCGGCATTGTTGAATGAAGGATCTAGATAGAACTCATTGAGTTCGACATTGACCGGTGCAAGAAAGTTCGGAGTTACATATGGCCGAGTAAGGAGTTTCTGAAAGTCTTTGAAACTGAAGGAGTCACCAGAGTGAGATTGTGAAGCAGCCATTAGGGACGAAATAGAGTTTTGCAGAGTTACGTAGCAGAGAAGCAAGGAGATGAATAATAATATTGCGAGAGAGGTGCGAAAAAATGAGGCGTGATTTAGTGGTGCAATGAAATAGCGTATTTGGGGGTTATAAGGGTTTGCAAACATCGCACCTTTTCAGGCTATAAAAGAAAACAATGATTAAAATTCTTGAAAATTTCGAATGTTGTTGGAAAACACAAAGTGAATATGGCAAAATTAATAATTTGTATTAATTCTGCCGTATTGGGGGGTAATTGTTGACACACAAAAAAGTTCAGCCCAAATCGAATAGCCCAAGGAACGAAGCCCAACTGGAAAATCCCCAATTCAGATAGCCCAAAGAACGAATCAGTCAGGCAATGCAAGATAAAGGCCCAAATAAGGAAGCCCATGAACGCGGAAATACCATCGCCCAAGGTTGCAAGTGGCCCAAGATTTGAGCGAATGAATTGCCATGCAGTCGCCCAGAGCTGTGACTCTGCTCTCGTCCAAACATTCGAGTCACCCAGCATCTTAGCAAACATAAGAAGTTATGGTTATCCAAAAGTGCAGTTAATGAAGCAGTTATTGGGTAGTCCTATCACGTTCCACGATTCAAGGAATTCAATTGAAAACGGTTGAACGACAAAAGTAATGGCAGCAGTTAGAGAAGGCAGTTCCATGATAAGTTGGCCACTACAAAAAAAGTGGGCAGTTATAGAGCGATCAAACAGTTTCTTAACCAGTTGATCATGAAGAAATCACCCAGGGAGTATAAAAGGAAGAAAAGACATAAAGCAAAAATCCCGAATCAAACACTCTCAAACAGAGAATATGTAACTTTCGATTTCTTAGTTTAGATTTAAACACTTCTTTTACAGTAACTCGTGTGTTTGCGCCCCTTGGAGACATTCTGTTTTTATTTTTCAATTGTAAAGTCATCGCCAATAAAAAAGCCCCCTTTTGAATTTTGTCTCAAGAGGTTTGTCCCTTACACAATCGTCTGATCTCTTTTTAATTGTTAGCGACTAACCCACGCGAAACAGATATAGAGAGTACAGAGCAAGGAAGGTGGGTTTTGGCACCTCGGAGCAGAAGGGTCGATTTAGTGGAGAAAAAAGGAGATCAAATCCTAGCCTTTAACCATTCTGATTGTGTTTTTTCAACCGTCGGATAGTTCGAATTTATCCGGCATTCTTGTTTTAACGGTCTTGTAAGTTGTATCCACGGAAATAGTTAAAGTGCCCTTTGGATTTGGCTGTATGGTGAGCTATTGCATCCAATTTTTATCGATTTTTTACGATTGGTATAGTCAGTTTGGTTTTTGAATTAATTTGATTGGGTTAAACTGGCTTTATTTGCCCGAAGGAGGAACTTTATTAGTGTATGTGAAATGTTTTTTGTATAACAAGATTGAGCTTAATGTTTTAATTGTTAGTAATGTCAGGGTTAGAGTTGTAGAATTAATTGATTTGTTAAATTATATTCAGTGGCTTACGTGTACACTGCATGATTTAGCTGACCAAGAATTTATTACAGCTTGATAGCGATTTTGATACTAGCAGTTCTTGATAAGAGGCGGATGCAGTGTAAAGCACTTCGTCGTACGTGTTTTTTTCTTTACTTTTGATAATTATTAATCCCATGAAGGAGAATCTTGAATGATTAAAGGTGGCTATTTTGAGTATGAATGCTCCGTTTCTTTAAATACTTGAGTCCACCCGAGGATGATTTTCCTGATCTATGATTTGATGTGGTCCTTTTCTTTTCTGCAAATGATGTTCGTTTGTTTATCTAAATCACCAGATGGCTCTCTCATAGTAGTGATCTGATATTTTCCGCTCTCCGCGGTTCTGTATTCTAATAAATCAGTGCTGTTCTCTCTTCTGCTTTCTAATATGGTTGGTCGCAGGCAGATTAAATCATTATTTGCTGATTGATGATCATTATCGGATTAGATATTTATCTGGTACTATCTCAGTCAGCTTCTGATTTTGGCGGTTGATTGAGAATGACTGAAACTCCCTCTTCCTTCGCCATCTCCGTTGCTGGCTGTGAGAAGAACCAGGGTTGGTCTTCCTCTTCTGCTCATGTCTCCTGATTTGGATAACCCTATTCAGACCCAGATGGCTGTGGCACTTTTTAAGAGTCCGTTTGGTAGCAGGGAGTACCATGGAACCAATAGGACCGAAGGGAAACTGACAGGAAGGAGACGCGTTTTTGTGCAAACCGAGACAGGTTGTGTTCTAGGAATGGAGTTAGACCGGAGTGACAATGCAAATACCGTGAAGAGGAGGTTGCAGCTTGCCCTGAACTTTCCCACTGAGGAAAGTTCTTTGACATTTGGTGATACAGTATTGAAAAATGACCTCAGTGCCGTTCGAAATGACTCCCCACTTCTTCTGAGACGGAATGTAATTCATAGAAGCTCTTCAACTCCATGTCTCTCACCCACTGGCAGTGACATCCAACAAAAGGATCAGAGTGGCCCTATAGAGGTACTGGGGCACTCGAATTCCTTCGCCAAGACCAAACAACTTGTTAAGGAAATTATCAAGGCAATGAATAATGGAGTTGATCCACTCCCTGTTCATAGTGGCCTTGGAGGGGCTTATTACTTCAGAAACATTAGAAATGAAAGTGTTGCCATTGTGAAGCCTACAGATGAAGAACCTTTTGCACCAAACAATCCGAAGTGCTTTGTTGGCAAAGCTCTTGGGCAACCGGGCTTAAAACGTACAGTGAGGGTCGGGGAAACAGGATACAGAGAAGTGACTGCTTATCTTCTTGACTATGATCATTTCGCAAATGTGCCACCCACGGCATTAGTGAAGATCACCCACTCGATCTTCAATGTTAATGGTGTGAATGGAAACAAGCCTCCGAGCAAGAAGCTTGTCAGCAAGATTGCATCCTTTCAACAGTTCATTCAGCATGATTTTGATGCCAGCGATCATGGAACCTCAAATTTCCCTGTTTCTGCCATGCATCGCATCGGGATATTAGACATTAGGATTCTTAACACAGATAGGCATGCGGGTAATCTTTTAGTTAGGAAGCTTGATGGTGTTGAGAGGTTTGGTCAAGTGGAACTTATTCCTATTGATCATGGCCTCTGCTTGCCTGAGAGTTTGGAAGATCCATATTTTGAGTGGATTCATTGGCCTCAAGCTTCAATACCATTCTCAGATGATGAACTTCAGTATATAGAAAATCTTGATCCCATTCAGGACTCAGAGATGCTGCGAAGAGAGCTCCCCATGATTCGAGAGGCTTGTCTACGTGTCCTGGTCCTCTGTACAATTTTCCTTAAAGAAGCTGCGGCATATGGGCTTTTCCTTGCTGATATAGGCGAGATGATGAGTAGGGAATTCCACAACGGTAAGGAGGAACCTAGTGAGCTTGAGGCTATATGCATCGAGGCAAGACGGCTGATTGCCGAGGACATGACGCCCAAGGCTGAAGCTGACGTCCAGGAATTTCAATTTGATATAGATTACGAAGATGGTGGATCTGACTTGAACCCAAAATTGGCCTTTGAGGACTTCATGGCAGATTTTGGATTTGGAGGTGTTAATGCATTTACTCCTCTTTCTAAGCTAGAGGAAACCATTGAAGAGGAAGAGGAAAATGAGGGAGAAGAGTTGGAAAAGGAATTCACTGGGGATCCGGTCCTTGAAAGGATCTCGACCATTTCAAAGCCATCTATGTCGCTTAAAAATACAAACTTAAGTGAGAAGAGCCATAAGTTCCCAAAATTTTCTGGAGCAAAGCCTGACTACTGTTATCTTGCTAGTTCATCATCAGGCCATGGGACTGCAAACGAGCTGCTTCCCACGAGTGTGAGCTTTGTGAAGCTAGCAGACATGAATGAGGAAGAATGGGAAATGTTTTTAGAGAAGTTACAGAAGCTTTTGTACCCAGCATTTGCTAAGCGCAAGTTTTTGACCATTGGTCAGAAGCAACGACAGAGGCTCGGGACTTCTTGCCAGTTTTGAGAGATATATGACTACCACATGTTGCTATTACAGACGGAAGAATAAGATGACAAGCTTGTTGAAGGATTTTTAGGGTAATTGGGTTTATGATTTCTCGTAGCCGTAGGGTAGGAGTAGTAGCAAGACGTAGTGATGTAAATATTCTTGCACCTCGCTTGGCTTTTGATCTGTACTTCAAAAGTTGAGTAGTCAGAATTTAAGTTTGTCGAGAGTATTAGATTAAGGTCTATTTGACATATATTATTGTGCACATTGTATCTGATTAATAATTGTATTGCATCAGGAAAGATGTAACACAGGTCCTCAAGTGTCACAAGTGACACAAATTCCATTGATGCTGACTTTCAAAGCAGAATAGACATTGGAAAGCAACAAATTGGCCCCTCGTCAAAAAAGTAACACAAATTATTGGGCCTTCGATGCATTCAAGTCCAATGATGTATTTTTTATTTAAATGTGTAACCTTGATTCATGATGTTATTCGTCATTTGTATTTTGGAAATAGGTTCAAAAATACCATCAATATCTCGTGGAGAAATCTAATTGACAAGTGAATTCTCATTAAAACACGGTTTGAATATTTGATGGTAAATTTCCTTGATGCTATCTTGTCATTGGCAGCAATCAAAGATGAACTGTAAGTACAAATCAAAGGCAGTTAAGGAGATAAGAATATCATGTTTGGTGAAAGTCTCCATCATCAGAAGTCATTTTTTTTGAGAAAGGCCTCTCCATCAATGAGAAGAAAGAAATTAACTTAATTTTTATAGAAAAATCTTAGCTAGAATATTATCTAGATAACTACTGAAATATTTACACAATCTATGATAAATAGCTCCTCAAAGAAAAATCATTGCAATAGTGATTAACATAGGTAGCAACATTTTCTTTTCCAAATCAGTCATAAAGTTACACAATTTATATTTTAAATTATGACCCAAAAAAAAAAAAAAAAGAAACTCGCAAGAAAAAGGGAAAAAATCGTTCTGAAGCCATTCTACCTGAACTGCATGAGAAACAACATATATCAGACATGTCTCCAAGGCCTTTCTGCAAGATTTACACACTCTCTATATCTGAAACAATCAACAAGATGATCAATTGTCATCCCACATGCTTGCATGAATGAATACACGATAACGGGCCCCACTAACCGGAACCCATGTTTCAATAAGTCCTTGCTCATGGCCTCAGCTTTTGGACTCCTCAGAGGTACATTTCTAGGATATCTGAATCTGTTGATCATTGGTTTATAACTCACGTAATCCCACATGAAACTGCTGAAAGACCCAAATTCCCTAACAATCTGTAAAAAGATTGAACCACAATGCAATTAGCATTTCGATATAAGCCACATCCTGGGATGGTTGGTTCTAGGCTAGATGAAATCCATCTTTTTCTTTTCTTAAACACTATAGAAAGGACTTGCCTTTGTTACGCATTTTGCATTGTCTACTATGCACCTAACTCTGCTTTCTGCTAAAGTTAGCTCTTTATTGGAGGCTATTTCAAGAATCTCCTTTTCTCCCATTTTAGACACGTTGTTGGGATCAAAACCAGCAAAAGATTCTCTGTGTTTTATCCAAAACACAAGATTTCATTAAGAATCCATATATCGTATTAAAATAGATAGATATAATGGAAATTATAAGCAGAAATTCTTACCTCAGAAGTTCCCTCCTTTTTAAGATTTCAGTCCAGTTAAAATCCATAAGCATCCCAGACAATGCAAGCAGCTCAAACAATTGATTGTCATCATAAACTGGAACTCCCCAGCATTCGTCGTGGAATTGTACATAAACTTTTTCTGTTCGGTAAATCATTTGATATTCATATTACAAGTATCCCCAGCAGTCATTTGAATCGATGCATATAAGGAAAAGCCATAATCGCAACTTTTGACTAGAAAAATGCTAAAGTTGTTTAAGCTTTTAGATGAGGTCGTTTAATAGGATTTTGTTTTTCATTTCACATTATAACTTTCAGAAGAGTTACATGAATCAATGCTGGTAATGAAAAACCATAATCACAATTTTTCTCACACGATAAAACTTAAGCTCTTAGATGAGTTAGATTAACTATATACTAATAACAAAATATAAGGATTTTGTTTGTCATTTTGTATTATAGTCTTTACAAGCTATGAAGAGTCGGATAAATCTTACCACTGTTGCTCGTGATCCAGTTGCACCTCCTTATGCCTCCTTCCTCAATAGGACTTGCACTAGGTTGACGGATAATTTTAGTCGCAGGGACCTCTCTTCGTTCAGGTGGCGCTATCAAACGTAGTGCTGATAAGATTTTCTGATCAAGTGGAGTGGAAGAATCTGCTGTAAAGGAAGAATCAATTGAGTTCTGTGACAAAGATAATGACAAAGAAGATAAAGAAAGAGGTGAAGAACAAGATCTATGTATTCCAATTGGGTAAATTTTCTTGAAGTGTTTCGATAAAATGTTGCAGTTTGGTTTTTCCTTTTGTTTCGGAATACTTTTGTTCTTCTCTATATCACGTTGTGTACTATATTGTTTGGACATGTTGTAAGGATAAACAAATTCCACAGCTCCTAGTCTTAAAATTGGACAGATTTCAAGTGAATGAAATTTATAAGGATGTCAAGAAGTTGGTAAGAGGAAAAGAGTTCAAAAGTACCTTGTTATCTGCTACTTAGGTTTTAAGCAAATTCTAAAGGTATATCTAACTTGTATATTATTTTCAGAAAATGATATATGGATTTCTACAATTTTACGAACAGCAAAATGATTCTTATTGTGAAAATATTATCACATAAGTTGCGGTTGTTTGGCATTGAATGAATGCCGTGATGGAAAATAATTCATTTAGTCGAGAGCGATACTTTGTTTATTGTTGTCTGGTTGTCTAGAAATAACTAAAACTGGACATGAGTACAAATTTGATGCTTGGATTGGTTAATGAAAACGTCATAGCAGAAGATTGTATACTTCATTGGATATTGAGCCACTAACGAATCCATTTGAAATTCGTGATCCTGAACATCGAAAGTGCTTATCGCGTATTCTCATGGTTCCAATGGGGTGGAGATGGTCAAATTGGTCCATGAATTTTCCTTCCTTTTCTTTTGTCGCATTTTGCCCAAAAGCTAGGATCCAATCCGAGGTACCCTACAAAGATATAGTTGATAGATAAGAGGTGAACAATTATGTACTACTCCTTGTTCGCCAAGTCGAAATTCTCTCCTCCTATTCATCCATCTTTCCACTACAACTACCTTGTTACGACATCACCATAATGCAAGGGACTTATGACAAAGAGCATGGTTTTTAAGTCATTGATAGACGTCACCCGCTATACAAAAATCAGCAATAATTTCATATCTAGGTTTACAGAAGTGGGCAAAAGGCTAGAGAATTAAGAGTGTGTTTGATTGATATGAAAAATTTCACATCGAAAAGAAAATATTTTCCTTGTTTTGAGGAAAATAAAAACCACCTCCACCCAAGAAAAATATTTTCCTTCAAAACAAGGAAAATTAGACATATTTTCAAAAATTGGAAAATATTTTCCATGAAAAAAATTAACAATCAAACACATCAAGTAGGAATTTGAATAGAAAACTGATATTTTCCATGAAAAATAAATGTAATCAAACACACCATCATTGATCTTTGAGACAACATATCATTTGTAGTGTGCAGTGAACAATGGAGTAATTTGATCTTGATTATTTTACGAAGTGCAAATTAACTGCCAAGAAAAAACAAATTAAGATGTGGTGAAAGATTTTCATTTCTCAACTGTGAAATATACCCTTAACTTAAAAGTCATTAGTTCAAAAGCAACATAATGTTCTCAAGGTTTTAAACGATTAAACAATTTTAAGATATTATTATGGAGTTCGACAAAGTGTACTAGATAAGATAACATTTCACGTGCACGCTATTTTTCAATATGACATACATACGACAAAGCATTTGTTGTGTATCATTATTTCAAAACTCATTTTTAACCACATTCTTACAATAAAATATTTTGCATATATATATTTTTTAACCACACATTCTCAAAAAATTCACTATTTCAAAATTCAATTTCCTACTTTAATGGTAGACAATCAGGGGCAAAATCTATCCTTGACGATTTACACTTTTTAGTTGAAGTGTTTACCTCAATGAATTGCGGTGGGTCTAATATTAAACTTAAGTCCCACTCATTTACCTTAGAGGAATGAGGTAAACCCATTGCCTACAAAGACAAAGATATATCATCTTTTATTCTTGTTCTTCTTTATCAGAATATGTTAATCAAAACATGGGCTAATACAAATTAATAGAAATGAGATATTCTTTGCCAAGAAAGACAGGAAATTCTTAGAATTGAGTTTACATAAATTAGTGGGTATTCATGTCTATTTAAATAAGTGATGCAATGCACCTTAGCGTGTATTAAAGAATCTGTTTTCTCCAATCATAATTTCTGAAACAATTTTACTTCTATGAATAGGTTCAGATCCAAGCCCAGAGAAAGTTCAAGTTTGTACTCGTGATTTATTGTTTCAATAGAGTCGAGTTAACTCAGTAGATTGACAAGTAAAGGCAATGCTTGCATGAGCTCATGTGAGCTTGGGCTCATGCCTATATATATGTAGGTTATTCTTCCGTCTACACGTTTGAATATCATCCAAACTAAATACTTATAAAAAAAAAAAAAAAAAAAGTTCACGCTTATCTTTCAACGTGAGAATGCACATTTACAATTCGAAAATTTCACGATAAAAAATATATCATATTAATGCACTCTATGAGGAGAACATAATATCACTATCGCCACCCCGTCATAACCCAACCACCATCTCCCGATACTTGGATTCTTTGATTTGAACTCTTTAAGTTGAAATTTGTCAAAAACTCTTTTCTATTGAGACCACCCATAAGGTTAATGACAAAAATAAAATTACTAACGTTATGATCAGTTATTATGAAAAACCTAACTTTGTAATTTAAATAACTAATTTTCATCCATCTACAAAATCAAGAAAATAAACATTAACATATTAAAAATTAGTTCCAACTGAAAAATTGAACAAATTTACAATCTACAAAATCAAGCAAACAAATATCAACAAATTAAAAATCAGTTCAATCAATAAATAAATAATTTTCATCTTAATGTCAAGAATTATGCATAAATTATTTATTATTAACGACTTTTAAAAAAAATGATTAATGGCATATTTGGTTGGTGAATTGAGTTTCTAGAGCAGGATAGACTTTTTTTTTTAGCTGTCCATAATTAAAATTCTAATCCAAATTTAAATAGAAACGAGAACTCAGATCATCGCTTCCTTTTCTCTCCCACTTTGAATTTCGGAATGAAAATTGGAAATGAAATAGTTTAGTACTATTTAAATTTAGATGTTTTATTTCTTAATTAATTTAATTTTACTTTTTTTAATTTTTCTTTAAGGTATGAAAGTTAACTTTATATTTGTAAGCTTTAAATCTATTGAATGATGGTTTAGGTATGAATCCCTAAATAGATTATTATTTCTATTTATGTGCTCAAAAATCTACAAAAATCTATAAAAAATTTTGATTAATAAAATCCCTAGAAATCTATAAGCTATTGAAAGACCTATAGTTTAATGAAATATATTATAATTTAAATTAACAAGGTCACATTTATATAAACTTTTAAAATCCTCTGAAATTGAGTTGAGAACACCTTTGCAAATTCATATATTCTATAATAGGAGTAGATATGATTCCATTTGGTTATGGTTTCAAAATAACCAAATCAGACAAAACTATGAATCGAACCATTCAGACCTAGATTGGTTTGATTTTGATTGCATTATTTAAATTTTCAAATGATAAATACAAATTAAAATCTATCACCATATTCATAGGTTAGTAATATATATCTAAATCAAAAAAATAAAAATAAAAATTTCAGCATATATAATGATAGTTGTGGTATAGGAGTGCAAATGTGGGTCTAAAATTGAAAAAGAGCGAAATGAATTAGAATTTAGATTTAGAGCTTGCTAGCTTTGTCCAATAGGTGATAAGGTAAAATTTAATCGTAAATGGCCTTTTTGTCAATTTCACACTTCTAATTTTTAAAGTTAGATTTTTTTAATTTAATTTAATTTATTATTATTTTTTTTTTTTGGTGTGATTCATTGATTTGTGAAAAGAAAAATAATATATACAAAAAATAAAAAATTGAGTTTGATTCTCAGTTTTAGGAACCAAAACTGATAATTCTCTCTCTCTCTCTCTCTCTCTCTCGCAGAATCGAAACATTCAATTAGGTTTAGTTCTAATTTGGTTTGGTTATTTTGGTCACCCCATAATATACTGTATGTTTATATA